GGGGGGGGGGGGGGGGGGGGGGGGGGGGGGGGGCAGTGCATCCGGGTCTTGGGGATACCCGTCATCTGTGTGGAGGCGACGATAGCTAGCCCCGCTGCTCCATCCGGCTCCCTCCCTCTTGTTTTTGCTGCGTGAGGGAAGTTGTCAGGCAGTCTTGGCGGGGTAAGGAGGAGTGACTGGGGAGGACGCCTGAGGAGAAACGGATCCTTTCCTTGCGCTCCCGAAAGCCGGTGAGGCTGCCGCAGTTGCACAGAGGTACGGAGTGCATGTGCAGGGAACGCTGCCCAACCCGCCTTAGGCTCCCAGCAGCGAGGCCGCCTCGCCCGGGCGGGGAATCGCCCTGCTGCGCTCCCGGGATTGCTCAGGCTGGGCCTAGGAGCGCTGACGAAGCGAGCCGCCTTTCTCTCTTTGTCAGTCGCTCATTCATGCCCAGCTCGGTGGCACAAGCCGAGGAAATCCAGGCAGTTGTTACCGCCTGACCTCGTGAGGGTGGGGAGAAGCAGTTCACAATAAGCCCAGGGATCTCCAGAGTCATCCATCTGGGGCACCCTCGATAGGGGGGAAATGTGAGTTGAACAATAATGCAGGATAGCGCTAGAAGCCACCGTGCAACTTGCTGTCGTGAGGAATGTGCATACCGTAGTATGCATGAATAAAGAACTGCACGTGTCTGGTTAATGATTTCGAAGAGGTTTTGCAAGATCTGAGTAGGTTGGTAGATCATTGCATGTAATATTCTTTGGCTGCTCGGTGCGTAGCTGTGTGAGAAGTTCAATACCATAATTCCCCAAGCGAATCTATGGTAATTACCTGATTACATCCGGTAGAAACATGAATTCTTTATATCCTCAGAGGCACTCTTTATTGTATCGTAGATTTTGGCATGAACAGTCTCACTGTCAAAAAGGTTGTTCAGCCTGAACTGCTGCAGAAAATATTAAATTTGAACTGAAACTTAGCTATGGAATGTGTTGAGCTGGATCCAATAAATAGCTATTTTTGTTTAATCTCTTCCACAGCAGAAAACATTGAATAAGCTAAGATACAGCACTTTGAGCAAATTGGAAAATGGGTAGGGTACAAATGAAAAACTGCACTGTGTTGAATCTTGCACTCATAACTGCTTTCTCCCTGAATGGCTGGCACATAATGCATTTAGTTGGCTCTGAACTATGTTACAGGATTTTATACTATTTTTTTTAATAAGGAAATGTTTATGTTTAAATTTATTGTATTTCAAGTTTCATATTGTTTTATCAATGAAAACTACTTAAAGAAATTATTAAAAACAATTTAATAATTTTTTAAAATTGCACACCTGTCAGTAGTGCATTTTTGTTGGACTAGAGAGTGCCTCTTTAATTTAGGAATTGTGCTAAAATTTTGCTATTCAAAATATTTTTCGTATGTTGTGAGGGAATTGGTTTTAATTTCAGTTTCAAATGATAAAATATGTATTTTTGGGTGGGATTTCATTAGCACATTTACACAACTTATTTTTAAAAACAAAATATTGCATGTTTCCTAAGAACATGATATTTCAGATTGGGTACTGCACTGGACCTAATTGAAGCAATAATTATATGTTGACAATCAGAATCCTTGTTCTGAAATGTAAAATAAGCATGCCTATCTTTAAATAATACATGATGTAAGGAAAAAAATAAAATTGGCAAAATATTTTAAGTTCAGAAATTAAAAGTAACTGTAGGATTCTTAGTATACTGGAAGATATACATCAAATAAATGACAACTTGAAATTCTTAAATCTCAGTTACTAGGGATGCATTGGAGATAGGGATTTTCATACACATGTAGTTACCAAAATATTTTGGTCTCTGGATGCACGTACAGTGATTATGTTTTCAATTGGCAGAATGACTTCTAATTACAAAGACCAGCATAGGGTAGATAAGAATTATGAAAGTTACTTTATCTTTCAAAAAATTCAAAATATGCTTTTATTAATATATCTGACCAACTGATTCCATTGGCCTGCTGTGTGAAAAACCCTTCACTGGGATTGAAGAAGAAATTCAAGTATTGAGTCACTAGCATTGTCTAATAACAATTAGATCATTTAGGTTAATTTTTTAGAATTATATCAGTGAATAGTTATCTAGAAATTGAGATCATCTCTCATACTTACTGCATCTAGTATATCTTGTATGTAATAGATTCTCATTCTCAAGGTTTTTGTTGAATATTGAATATCCTTTTCATGAGACGTTGCCAGATTTGTTTTGAAATAAATATTTTTACTGAGTAACTGTCTTAATAAAACTCACCATAAAGTCAGGAGTACAAATAGATGAAGTGATTTTGTTTTTTCTTCAGGAGGCCTCTTTATACTGAGAAACAATGGAAGGAGGAGCAAGTCAAATGCAACCATGCAATGAAAGCCAGATTTCAAACTCTGAAGGTGGATGTGCATGGCAAGTTACAGACATGACTCGACTGCGCCGTTTCTTGTGTTTTGGTTCTGAAGGAGGTGCTTTCTGTGTCAAGGAACAAAAATTGAGCTTTGAAAGTGTAGACGCTCTTCTGAGGCTTATTGAAGGTGGCAAAGGTTATGAAGCAGTACAGGAGATAAAGACGTTCAGCCAGGAAGGTAGAGCAGCAAAACAGGAACCAGTATTGTTTGCGCTTGCCATTTGTTCACAGTGTTCTGATGCAAAAACCAAACAAGCAGCTTATAAGGCTGTCCCTGAAATTTGTCGTATACCAACCCACCTCTTCACTTTCATCCAGTTTAAAAAGGATCTGAAGGAGGGCATGAAATGTGGCATGTGGGGCCGTGCCCTGAGAAAAGCTGTTGCAATTTGGTACAATGGAAAGAATGACATGGCTATTGCTTTAGCAGTGACAGCATACAAGAAGAAAAATGGCTGGTGTCATAAAGACCTTCTTAGGTTATCACATCTAAAGCCTGCAAATGAAGGTAACAACAACTGGAGATGTTCTGATTCAACAAGGATGGTTTCCAATAAGTAATTTTGTCTGTGTTTGAACAAAAGAGAGTGAGGACTGAGGAAAGGAGGCCACCTGTATAAAGCTAGGGAGTTTTTGTCTGAAATAACCTAGGTATTATAGACACAGGCATTTTTGTAGATGTTATATATCTGTGCAAATCATGCACCTAAATAGAAGTGTACTTCTGTAAATTAAACCATGACTTTAATTGTGGGGAGAAAAGCAAACTGATGTATAACAGTGCTAAATGTGGGACAGAATACACAACTTTCACTTTTTAAAATAAATATATTTATTAATGTACTGCTTTATTTTATATTATACTGTCAAATGGATGGGGGAAAATCTCCAATAAATTTTAAACTCATACATGAGTTTTTAATTTTTCATCTCATTCCTTTTTTTTTAATCAAAACCTTGAGATTTTTCTAGAAGTAGTAAATATGTTTTAATTAAAGTAATTTCACATATTCTAAATATGGCTAAAGATGGCCAGTTGACAGTTTAGTTATTCATATAAAACAAGATCTTCACTGTCTATCAGAGAAGATAAGGAGGTGGCAAAAAACCATTGTTACCTTTCCTTGATTTTTTTTTTTAACTGCTACAAATCGCAAAAGCAATGGAGAATTACACCAGAAAGAATGCCCACGACCAACAATCCTAAAAACTGAGGACCAAATGAATAAATTGTGAAAAAGGCATTGTGTGTGTGCATATGTATTTAATTAAATAGTAAAGCTATTTGTTCTTTTGCTTTTACACCATCTTCCACTATTTATATATCAAGGTAAAATAGATAGACAAATTGCTAGTTTTGCTAAGATGCCAGAAAATATCAAATGCAAAATAAATACACTTTCCAGCCTAATATTTGTAACTTCAAATTGTTTTGAAGTTCATATTTCTTTTTAAAGTATTTTCTAGATTACAAATAAAACTTGTTCTATTTCAACAGGCCTGGCCATTGTCACTAAGTATGTAATGAAGGGATGGAAGGAGGTCCAAGAGGCATATAAAGACAGCAGGCTTTCTGCTGAGGCTGAAAAAGTGTTGAAGTATTTAGAAGCAGTGGAAAGAGTAAAGCATACAACAGATGAACTGGAAGTGATTCATTTGATAGAAGAGTATAGTTTAGTTAGAGAACACCTCCTGACAAGTCACTTGAAATCTAAAGAGGTAAGGAAATAAAGTAAACAATAATACTTTGAATCACACTACATAATGTTATATTTTGCACTTTACTAGTCCTCTGTTTTTATAGCACTTTTAACAAATTTTACGTGTATTCTTACATGTACATGATTATGATAAAGTTATGCATATTTACACTGAGTATACCTTTTTCTTTAAACACCATGAGTTTTCTCTTCCTTACCCTCAAATTTCATTTTGTACAAGGTATGGAAAGCACTGCTACAGGACATGCCCTTAACAGCAGTATTGAAAAACCTGGGAAAAATGACAGCAAATTCTGTTCTTGAACCAGGAAGTCCAGAAGTAGCAATGGTTTGTGAAAGACTAAAAAATGAAAAACTTCTTAAAAAGGTAAGGATTTTGTGTGCATTGTTCTTGCCTGCATTGTATTCTAGCAATATTCTGTTAGTTGACGTTTTAATAAAAAACACTATTGAAAGTTAAGCTTCATTGTAATAAATCATTGCATAAATGCCTAATTAAACTACTATAGCATATCCAAAAGACAAATATTTATTAACATTCTAGGTATTGGACTTACAAAGGGAATGGTCAAAGGAGAGAAAGATTCACTATTTCTGCTTCAACAACCCTTCTGTCATATCATTAGGAAAATACTTTTTTCCTGTGTGAAAAAAAAATATTAGGAAATGGTTAATCAGTGATTAAAATTGTTAATCAGTTTTGGACTGCTCTTAGAAAAAGATGAAATGTTGATATGTTAGTAAAGTATCAGATAATCATGTATAAATTGTAAGGGGCTATCATTCATTTATTGAGGTTTGGAAATAGATGCTGCTGTTAAAAGCAAGCAAATGAATGGAGGAACAAATAATAAAAGCAAGGGGCTGAAAAAAAAAGCAGGAGGGGTGGAGAAGCTGCTGCTGCTGTTTCAAGGAGTGCTTGCAGATCCTGCAGATGTAGAGGATGAGATTCTACATTGGAGAACCTCCTCTATCCATGAAGACAAGGATGAGGAATCAGGAAAATTAGAATTATTGATTAGTGGAGAGTCTGTCTGGTTGGAGAGGTTCTCCACTGCAACCACTCAGCCCATATGCGTGGGGAGAAATAACAGCATAAGGCCATAGCATACTGATGGGCTGAGCATACTTACTGATAGGAACAACTGAGCAAAGTGACTTACAGAGTTAAGCATATCTAGGTTTCCTTGCACTCCCAACAGAAAGGCCTCTATTAATCCATATCTATTTTGTAAACAGAAGGGGGGAAAAACAGCTCAGTACCTTAAGGATCTCTTCCCCAATTATGGTCCCAGTGCATGTAGGGTAAGTTGAATAGAACAGAGCTGCCCCCAACATAGCATCAAACTATGCACACCTACCTGGGAGTAAGAGTGTTAGAACTTAGTGGGATTTAATCTAGAGCAGCATTTCTTAAAGTTTTTAACCTGGAGGAATCCTTGGAATAATTTTCAGGTCTCAGGGAACCCTTGCATAAAAATTATTATGTTTACATTAGCATGTAATGTTACAATAGCATGTTATTATTAGTGCATTAGCATGATCAGTAAGTTGTAGATATAATAATCCAATAATAATTGTCAATGCTCTTTTGATTTTTTTTTGCTGTGGATCTATCTATTTTGGCCAATTTATTAGTCTATTCTTTTTGTTTGGTTCCCCCTCCACCACAAAGGTATTAACTAATGCAAGTCAGTAATGTGGGTAGAGGAAACTTCAGTTTTTCCTTTAAAAAAAAATCCTACTTTTTTTTTTTTAACCTTATCCAAGTAGGCTAAAAGTCTTACAACAGATGTCTATTGTACAAGATGCTACTGAAGAATGGTCTCTGCAAGAGTAGTTTTTCCCCCTATCTCAAACTAAATATGACTTTTTAGCTCCCTACTTCTTGAAAAAAATATATAGTTATGCTTAACTTAGCTTTGTTGAAATTAATCTCTTTATTCCCCTTTCATAAATTTTAAAAACTTACAAGGCAAACATAATACATTTATGTTAAATAAATAAGACAATATGGGATTTAATTTTTCTAAAGGTAGTCCTGGTAGAATTTTTAAAAAATGAATATTGTAAATTGATTGCAATTAATGATATTTACACCATGAACATTTATTGACAATATTGAATACAGTAGTAAAGTTATTAAAAACCATACACAGCTGAGGCCCAGTGTGTAAAAATTCTAGCCACTGTGAGTGCTAGTTTTACATGATGTACAAAGTTGAAAAAAGTTTTTTTTTTTTTTTTAATTTCAACCACAATATCTTCTGAAATCCTAAGATTCTGTGGAAACCTATGTGAGAAGGGCTGGTCTAGAATATGCATATATAGAACTTGCTGAGTCCAGATATCCATGAACAGTTTCTTATTTTCTTGGATATATACTTTGTACTTGTGTGCTACATATGTGAGTGCAAGTTTGTATATTAAAGAATGTGTGTGTGTAAGTATGTATACATGCATGCACACAGTGGATCAATTAATTTTAACTGAGGAACCTATGAGTCAAAATAAATGACATATCATGTTTAAAGCTTTTTATAGGAAAAAAAAAACAAACTCTGTTGCTTCCATTTAATAAATATTCACAGAATGTGTAGTTCTACACATTACACAAGACCTCATTCTGCCTTCTGATTTGTGTCAAGAATGCGGTTGTTTGTACTATTCTGACTTTCCTTATTTAGCCTTTATCTATTTTTATTGCCAATTGTTACATTGGTTGGGAATTTAATAAAGATAATAGTACCAATTATCTTTATTAAATTGAGTTATTAAATTATGAGTTTATTTAATATCATGAGTTTTTATTTTATTTTTATTATTAAATTATTTATTTATTAAATTATCATGAGTTGATACATTATGCCCTGTATACATCTAGTTATTTGAAAGATCTGCTGGTGACTCATTTATCTGTGCACTTGTCCACATTTACTGGTCTAGAGTTATTTGTTTCTACCACATACTGGAATAGCCACATCCTGGTTAAGAGCTTTTTCTACGTGCCTCCAGTTTTTTGGAATAGACTTCTACCAGGATTATGCTTGGATACCAATCCCTTAAGAAAATACTAAATAGCTTATTTTTCACAGGATCCTGTGAAATTGCTTTAAAATAAATATTTATTGACTTTTTTACTTTGTATGATAGAGGATAATCTTATTATATAATGGACCTTTCAGTTTAATTGAGTTGTAATGTATTATTATATCAGTTTGTATTTTATTCAATGCCTCTCTTTTGCCTAGTTTTATGTGCCTAACAATAAAGCTATTACTATTTTACAGATGGAGTGATTTATTGTATAGGTAATTTAGGCTTTTTTTATGTGTGGCTAAGCATGTGTGCCTTCAAATCATTCTTGGCCCCTGGTGACTGCCTAGACATGGCCCTATAGTTTTCTTAGCAAGATTTTCAGAAGTGGTTTGCCTTCCTAGAGCTGAGACAGAGTTACTGGCCTAAAATCATCCCACTGGCTTTCTACTTAAGGCAGGACTAGAACTTGCAATTTCCTAGTTTCTAGCCTGGTGCCTTAAACCGCTACACCAAACTAAGTGGATTAAGTAATCAGTAGTCATTAAGTAATAGTTTTGATCTTGACCCTCTTATTTATTGGAGAATGATCTCTCCCACATTGATTTGTTCAGGATGGAGAAGCTTTGGGATTGATCTCAGTGGAAGTTGGCAACTCTCGTTGCTGAGGGAAGTTGGACAGCATCCAAGATTTTTTAATATGCTTGTAAACTTACTTTCTTCCCATTCATTCTTTTACGGGGGAGCTTCTTAAATCCAGTCATCTTTCTTTTTGCGTGTTTTCTCTGCTGCTTAGATGGGGGAATCATTGTTTTGCTGAAAAAGTGAATACTGTACAAAAAATTATCCTTTTGTGGGGAACATTGGCTGTGAACTGCATATTGGAAAGATTTCTTTTCTTGAGAAGTAGGTTCACAGAAGGCAAAGAGAATGAAGCAGCATCATTTGGATTCCTAGACCGAATCTGAAGTCATCACATAAATTTGAATCTCTCATAACCAATGAAATGAACAGTTGAATGAATAACTTAAAAAGGTTTTTTATCTCATTTAGATGAATTAAAAAAAATGTTCTAAGGGACACTGTAGCAGTTATTTCTAGCAATAATACTTTGGACGCATGTTAGCAAAGTTTTATTTCATTTTGTATCCAGAATACCTAAAGGAATATAATTTTCCATTACAGAAATCATTGAGCTTATAGCATACTTATTAACAGAAATTACAGCTAGAAAGAGAAATTAATATATTGAGTATGTTTTACAAAACTCTTTCTTTAGGCTCGAATACACCCATTCCATATTTTGGTTGCACTAGAAAACTATAAAGGAGAACGTGGTTATCGGGGAAAACTACGCTGGCAACCAGACAAGGACATCTTGGAAGCTCTAAATGCTTCGTTTTACAAGTCCTTCAAGGTAATGTTTATGAATATTTATTTAACTATTTTCAGTGTAAGTCTCCAATTTAAACAATCTCTGTTTAGGGAAGTTCTGATTTTGGTAATAAAGGTTAAAGGCAGGATGGTAAATATTCCTAGGATTTTTATTTTCAGAGTTCTTATGAGCAGTCCATAACAGTCTAGGCTGTTGTTTTCCTTTTTTTCCCTATCTAAGACTCATGAAGATTTAGTCTACAGATTATGCTATGCTGGGTTCCCTCAGCTATAACATACATTTGGGGAAAGGTGGTGGTGGAGAGGAACATTTACTGACCTCTCTTTATATAACTGTATTATATTTTTGTTTATAATTGACTAGTAGTTTTTTGAATGATACTGCTGGTACTGGAAGCACTCACATGCTATGAAAAGTCATGTCATTAAAAAAAAAAATGATGGAAAGCATTATGTGTTCTGACTTTTCCCCTCCCTCTTTCTTTAGACAGTAGAACCAATGGGAAAACGTTTCTTGCTTGCAGTTGATGTTAGTGATTCTATGTTGCAAAAGGTTTTTGGTAGTGTACTGAATGCCAATACAGTTGCTGCAGCAATGTGCATGGTAAGAAACATCACATTTTTATGGTTCTTTTTAGTCCCAAACTTTGGGATGTGATGGTGGTGTTCTGCCTTTCCAAGCCTGAAGAGATGTAATTTGATAAAACCTAGGATATCTGCCTCATGATTTGATAAATATGATTTTAAAATATAAAAGCAGACTATAAAATATATTTTTGAAGCAAAAACAGCAACAAACCACTCCAGGCAAAAAATCTATTAATTCCTGGCCTACTTATTTATTCAGATATAAATGGAACCTCAGTTATCCTGTTTATTTTCAGATAGCATGGTCGATGCTTTCCAAAAGTATGCTTCCTCCTTTGACCCCCAAATGCCTGTGTTCGTTTGGAATTTGAGTGACTTATTGCTGGAGAATATTTGGAGACATGTTGATATCTTTCATTCATTCCATGCCTTCCTACCCGATCTTGTCGTGCCACGTCTCTAACAATTTTCTTGTTGCTCAAGTTAGAACTGGCAACAAAGCATCTTTACAGTGGTTAATGCCTCCCTTGCTAAAGCAAATGTTTGGCCAAGATGATGCACCCATTCAGTACCTGTTCTACAAGTCAAGAACGAACCATTGTGCAAGATCTGGTAATCGCATTTTCAGCACTTGCATCCAAAGAAAATAAAAGTTGAAAGAGCCAGGATGTTGCAGAGGGTTAGAAGAGGGATGAATTAGAGGAAAGAGGATGTTGCAGAGGGTTAGAAGAGGAAAGGCTTGCGGAAACAGCTATGAAGCATTTGAAAACTACAGAAAGCCTGAGGTAGAGAAATGCTTTTTTAGTTTAAGAAAACAGGAAAATAACATTCTGTTTTTACTTTCGCTCATTTGGTTTTCACCAGGTTGTTGCACGCACTGAAAAAGATTCCCACATTGTTGCTTTTTCCCATGAAGTAGTTCCTTGTCTTGTGACTGAGGATATGACTTTACCACAAGTATTACAGAAAATGTCTGAGGTATCTAATATGATTAAAGTCACTCTGTAATTTTATATGAGAATACTTAACTAAATGTATTTATTATGGAAAGAAGTATTTTAATAATTTTTAAACAAGTAATCTTTTCGCGGAAGCATTTTATTTTCAAGAGATTTTTTTATTACATGTATGTAACATTTGATAATATTTATACCAAGTAAAAAAAGAAAGAACACTGACCTGAGGAATCCGGTACCTAAACTTCATTAGAAAGGAAAAGGGAAAAGGGGTAATTGTAATAAGAGATGTAAGAGTGTATGGATACGCTTTGATTTGTACTTGAGGCTGGATATTAATATATAATTTAAAAGCACATGGACACTATATTGCCCAGCAAGTTACAGGATAAGGAGTAAAAGAGTAAAATGAGCCCACTTAATAGATCAGACTATGTAGATTAGTTTGGGGCAGTAGAATTTTATTATTGTGTGTGTGGGTTTATAGAAGGAAATAAAAACAGAAGAGAGATTAGGGCAAAGTCATTAAAGAACTTTAATAAGTATTGAGGGTAGATGCAGAAGAGGATGGGAATCAGCACTGGATTTGCAGAGGATGTCTCTTGGTAATAACTTAAAAAAAAGAAAGGAAAGGAATATGAATGGAGATGGAATTACAGCTGAGCAAAACTAGTCCTCTCCATCTTGTACAGTGCAGCCTTCTATAAAAATTCCCCTATCCTATGCTGCAATGAGCCTCATTGCAGTGTGGATAGAATCTTCATACAGTCGTGTGAAAAAGAAAGAACACCCTCTTTGAGTTCTATGGTTTTACGTATCAGGACATAATAAAAATCATCTGGTCCTTAGCAGTTCTCAAAAGTAGGTAAATACAACCTCAGATGAACAACAGCACATGACATATTACACTATGTCATCATTTACAGTGGTACCTCGGTTCACGAACTTAATTCATTCT